TATATGAATGAAAAATTATTTCCAATGATTTGAAATAATAATAATTATAAATAAGAAATTCATATTCAATTGGGTATTTAAAAAAGGAGGAAAATTGAAATTCTTTACCTAACTCTGCTCTAAAGGTAATAAATATATATGAATTTCAAAAAGAACAAGAGGATAAACGATACTTATAAAGATGATACATTGTAGTTACAATTTATAATTGATCCGAATAACCGATTCTGTTCCCAATTATGAATTTCTTAAAATTACAATAAAGACTAACAGGATTTCATCATATTATACATAAATATATACAAACACATTTTCTCTTATGTCAACAATAATTCTCAATTGCTCATACTAATATGATACAAATATATGTATACCAATAATTAGATATAATATTAAGTTTTAATATTGGAATACTCTTCAACATTGAACGCAACAGTTGCACTTTAAATACAGAATCACATGCGAGTCCATTGCACCTCATGCTGATACAACACTATTGTATATAAATATTATATTTTTTACTAGATAAGAACTATGCTCTTACAAATTACATTCCATCACTTTTCGAAGGAAAGTTTATTGAATCTTAAACGAGAACTTCCAACTTATATTTTGGCTTTGAAGTATAACAATAAAGAAAGATAAATTCTTAATAATAAATTATTACTATTTTAACTAAATTAATGCAAATTGTAATTTTCTATTTCATAAAATAAATAGAAATGTTTCAGTCTAGACTCCTAATAATGTTATACGAGCCATAGAAGTATAGAAAATGAGCACTATATATGACGATATCCTATTTATTTGAATTTATTAGTATATGTAACATTCAATTTAAAACATTTATTAAGCACATAAATAAAAATGAAACATTATGGATTATACCATATTAGAAATTGCCTACAGAAGGCATACAAAAAAACATAGAAATTGGATTTTGAAGTCAGACACTTCTTTATATCTTTAATGTATAATCAAAAGTTTAGTATATTACTGTTTATAAATATGTTGTGATATAATAGTGTTATGGTTAAAAAATAAAGTGAAAGAGGGACTTTGGTGCACATTAAACAAATCAGAAATGTTGTACATATAAATGATGATATTAAAGTATAAATTGAAAGAATAAATTGAAAAGATAGTATTTGTGTAACTCTTTAAACAAAAATAAATTGACTAAATAAAATTTTCGTTTCTATTTCTGTAATTTGTTTTCTGTTTTACACGTGGTGTCTCTGCAATCGTAGTACAATCGGAAAAGGGGTAATTCCTAATGAAGAAGTACGTCAAAAGTGCAGAATAAAGTTTTTGCATATGAGGCCTCGCTTTCAAGGAAAACATCTTTGAAAATCTGTCAAGTGCACGTGCACTAACTGTAACAAAAATTCTACAAAGAATGCATAATAAGGAAAGTTGCCATATTAATAAAATAAACCTTAAAAAGTAGTAGTCTTATCCTTATTTACAAAATCATTCAAACTAAATACAGAACGAACGATACTAATATTACAAATCGATAGTAAGATAGTAGCAATGGTAGAAATTAAATGAAGACATTGCCCATGTTTATAAATACAAACACGAGCAGAAACAGAGGTCCATAACGTCGAGTCTTACAATTAGTACACACGCACCTAACTGATTTTCAAAGTTCTTTTTCTTGAAAACGAAGCCTCATATACAAAAACTTTATTCTACATTTTCGACTTATTGTTTCACGATGAATTGCCCCTGTCCTGGTTGTGTCACGATTACAAAGCATGCTGCATAATGTAAAATAACGAAATAAATTGTACAATTGATAAATCAATTTTGATTGAAACATAAAGAAATAGGAGATTAAATAAACAAATTTTTATAAAACAAAAAATCTGTATTTTTTTAAAAATGAATAGAAAAATTATTATTAGTTGATAGTGTAATAGAATGTAAATAGTTTGTCGAATTAAAACATTTGCATATTTAATATTGTGGTTTTAATCAATTATCTACTGTTCTATTTCATTCCTTAGATTTTGTAGTAAATAACAGAAATGTTTACTTTTGAATTTTTAAAGTACTTAAAAAATAACGTTCATATAACCTAAAACAATTTTTTAAGAAATTTAAACGAATGTCCCGAATGAATACTACAATCAAAATTATGTTTCAAAGCTATTTCTTTTTTAAGTATATTGTACTATTTGGATTCACACTTTTAATTGTAATTACAACACGTAATGTATATGTTAATATGTAAATGTTCGAGGTAATGGTAATATCAAATGTATAAGTTTATTTTTCCAAAAATATGAGCAACAATAAAAAGACCGTTATCTTGAACATTATAACAATATAAACAATGCACACGAAGACGAGAAAGTCCGTTTTGCCAAGAATGTGTTAGAATATCCGCCTTACACTGTAATTGTATCTACACATGCATATGTACCAAAATTTTAGACCAGAACTTTAATGGTTTATCTATTGTTATTTTAAAAATTTCTTTACTGGATAATGGGATTGTATATTAATAAACTTAATATTTATAAAACTATTGGAAATTTTTAAATACTTCATAATATGTGTGCATTTATTTCAATACAATAAAATATATGTAAATTTATAAACTTATGTATTAACAAAGATATAATAGTCAGTTTTCTGATTTCAACTTAATAAAGGTATTATTTTTACTGAAAAATAAAATTTCTTTTACAATCCTTGATTATAAGTGTAATTTGATCCTTGAAATTGAAAAGATGTTGAATTAATGCAATGTTCCTTCTATTTTTAAGAATAACACATTGAAATAAACCATTAAGTTTTTGATACATTTTATGTGATATTTCTTGTTTATTAATCTGTACAATATATTTATTATTATGTACATATATAAGTATTTTAAATACTGATGAATTGGTTATATATGAACAGTTCAAAATTACAAATTTATAAAAGGTTGGAAGAAAATTCAAATTTCTGAATGTTACTTATGTAAAACTGATATCTTACATTTTAATTTTAATACAAAATTAAAGTTTCATCTCATCTTTATAGAAACCTACATAAAACTTCTATTGTCTATTGGCAAACCAAATAGTATCTATTTTATTCTTTCTGCTTATTTTCATCATCAAATAATACAAAATATAAATTCAAATGAACAAACTATTTAACAACCAATTAGTTACTGCAAAAATTTTCTTATTTAGGATTAAAAGTTGAAAAAATAGTTAAAAATGTTTCATAAAAAATAGCACTCTTTCTCTTTCTTTAAATTTAACTGTTTCGTTTCAGTAATAAACATTAATATTCAATTTTTGAAATACCAAGTACCACTCTTCTAATTATATCATTTAGAAAAGGAAATTTTGTTATTAGAATGTTAAAAGAAATAATTTTATGTCAAGTGTTATTCAGTGTTTTTGTTTTTAATGTGTAACTGATTTTCAATGTGGTGGGGAGTCAAAGTGAGCTGGTCACGGTACTGACAGAATGTTGGGGCGCCCGTACTTGCTTGACACGGGACTAGTCAGTAGCGTCCATGTTTGTTTACTTGTTCGCGACGCGTAGACAAAAGACCTCATATAGTGTAACATAAACCAACGCTGACCAAAATTGTCTCTCGGGAGACAAACGCCATTCGCACCATCGTCCACCGTTACCATGGTACTGGGACGCGGCTGAGACGATAATACGTCGTGCGTGGTGTCTGCCAAGTTTCCTTGACTACGGAAGCGCTAGTCTGTCATGGCCGCCTCCTTAGCGTCGCGCGGTTGCCTTGACAACGAAGGCACGTCGCGCGAAAGAATGGTTGGAAGGGGAAGCAGGCGCGTGAGGGGCCCTTATGTTTGACAGCACTGATATAAACGACGGGATATGTAATTCACGTATGCAGTAAAGAGTGTCGACTCTTTATGTATACGTTATGGGTCCAGAGAACGCGAATTTGGTGATATATTTTTATGATTGAAAATAGGGCCACGTGGCAGGTTGAGCATAGGTTTTGAGAACATTTGGGAAGACTGATGTATGTTGAATGAAAGTGAGTCTGAAAAGCTTGAAGTAGAAAATAGCTTCCACCCACGTATCAATGGAACCTCTGACAGGAGATAATTACGACACTTGGGTTATTCAAATGAAGGCTTTCATGTGTCGAGTCGATCTTTTGGATTATGTAAACGGAACAATCCTAAAGCCAGCCGTTATATCCGCATGGAAGAATGTTTTAACGGACGGGGGCAGAAAGGATAAGAAAGCAATGTCAGAAATCATCCTGAATATGCATCTATCGCAGCTGAAACACGTGAAAAGCGTAGATACATCTCATACTGACTGTAGCAGAAGTTGAAGACCGAGTTTCAATAAAAGGGACCTGCGACGCAGACAACACCGATGAGGAGACTAGTAAAAATGACTGATGGAGAGTGTGTGGGAGAACACGTTTCAAAGTTCTTCATAACTGTTGACAAGGTCTACTAGGGTAATTCGTCAATATATGAATTGTAGCAGAGTATTGATGTGGACAGGTTGGGACGACCTCTGGGCCGTACGATTGAAACTCCAACAAGTCGAGTTAGAGAGGTCCAAGACCTCCTGGAAGATGTGCAAAACAATGCCTTTGATCCAATAATATCCACATTCGTGGGGGTCCTTGGTATTGGCGCACTGCTGATGGGTGGGTCTTATGCCATTGAGAGGTTTAGCGACAGGCAATTTATACACTAGAGCATCTTGCCAGAGGATAGAATCGTGGAGTACTGAGGTGATTAGATCCTTCCTCAGCGGTAGATTGGCTCAAGGTAACTTCGTGAGGATCTTCGATAGAGGGCCTGTCGATGCGTGCTGCCATAATTCCTAGAGAAGTTAGTTTAATATGCTTTCCGAATATTGTGTCGTTTTGGTACCTGCGTTGGCTGGCTATTGGTTCGACAAATTCACAAAAATTTTTATAATGTTGTCGCCACGGCGTTTATGATGATTCTGAATAGTTGTGACACGTACCACGTGAGCACAATGTGGTTGGCATAGCATACAGACAAAATGGGAGAAATATTTTTGGGGTTACTGACAAGAATAATCGCAGATTACACACTAGTTTTGCCTTCGTCCTGACAGGAGCTAAGGGAGTCAAGAAAGCATTATCCAACACAAAGGCTGAGTATATGGCTTTGTTTGAGTCAGCTAGAGAAGCAGTGGTACCTCCAAGGGATACTGCAACAAATTGGTGCAATTGCTAAAAGCACTGTGATTTACAATGACAATCAAGATGTTCAGAAACTTATTCAAAGTCGTGCTTATCATTCCAGAACTAAGCACATTGATGTCAGGCATCATTTCGTTCGAGATGTCTATGAGCATGGAAAAATTATATCCAGGTATGTGTAAACCGACCTAATGCCAATAGATGTATCGATCAAAGATTTGTGCTTCATGCTGCAGACTAGTAGTCGTGCCAGATTACTTTGAGAAGAGGTGTTGGGGCGACAAAGTGAACTGGACGCGGCACTGAGATGATGTTGGGGCGCCCCTATCGTTTGACACAGGAACTAGTTAGCGGCGTCCATGTTTGTTTACTTGTCGCGACGCGTAGACCTCGTGTAGTGTAGTATAAACGACGGGATATGTAATTCACGTGTATAGTAAAGAGTGTCGACTACATATATGTATGTATATACCGTAAAAACCACCGTATTAATATTTGTCAATACAATTAACACAATGTTTATATGGCATTCGAAGAGTATGCATCTTTTATGTACTTTGGCTCGTAAAATAAATATTAAATAAAATGAAAATTCCATTAGAATATTAATAAGTTTTTCTCGATAATAATATTCACTGTACATTACCATATAACGTAGAACTTCTTTTAATGTAATTAAATCGCACCTTTTGGCATGTCGGAAGAAGTCTGTCGTAATTCTTAATCGCAATAACAAACAGTGTTAGTAGGTAATGATAATATCTCTTGAGAAATTTCCTTCGAAATGTGATGATACTTTGTTACTACAACTACTATTTTATCGGTTCGGCAATGAAAATCATTCAAACAACTTTACCGCTCGTTTTATTTATTTTTTTTTTTTTATTATTGTTCACTCTGCATTATTTTGGCACTATGTGTCTTCAATTTTCTGTCTACTGTGATCCTCCTTGACTACAGGTTCTTCCATTAGCTTTTTCTGAGTATTCTCTTCCTCTCTACACTTGTTCACGCTTCTATCCTCCTGGGTATTTGTACTAGAATCTGATTCGATATTATGTTCAACAAAACAATGTACTTGTAACTCGTTCATAGTACGCATAGACACCGTGCAAACTTGGCACTTGTACGACTGTGTTTCTTCGTTCGGCTTTGTATCGTCTACAGGGAACGTGGACTGGCTTAACCTCTCTTTTCCACCGTAGTCGCGCCTCTGTTGATTGAACTGAAGGTTCGCGAGGCGAATATCCGATTTCGGATCTTCGTTCATGATTGGCACGTGATATGATCGAGACATATCCGTGTCTGTTACTTTCACAGGGTATGGATGCATAGCGTGCTGTGGTATAGGCTCACCCTCGTCCGACGAAGTTTCGCCTCCGCTGATTATTTGACCAGGAATTGCCTCAGAATCCCACTGACCTATTTTACTAGGATCTTTTTCACAAAGTCTTTGAGCCAGCATCTGTTAAATAGAGGGATTCATTTGTTAGCAACACTTTTTAATCAGTTTTGCAAATCATTGCAATTTGTAAAAAAAATATTACAGTAATATGCATATATTAAATCATTACAATTTATAAGAAAATACTACAGTAATATGCATGTATTAAATCATTGCAATTTATAACAAAATACTACAATAATATGCATATATTAAATTTTCCAAGTATTTATATAAGTTTACTTTTGTCCATTAAGTAGTGAGGTTTAACAATTTCTTTTTTTTTTTTTTTATTATTTTTGTTACTTCACACATTTCTGTTTGTTGTGTACATAAGAACAGTTTCATTTATATTACAAGAATATAAATATTGAAAGTTTTTTCTAGTTGAAGACTTTTTCTAGACTTATTTGTACTTTTTACTAGAAACATTTTATTTCAGTTTCTAAAGATACTTTATTCAATTCGGTACATTTAAAATATGCAGCCTTTGAGAATGCTTGGACACGTTACGTACCTGAAGACTAGTAAGACTATTATCACAGTCGGTAGTATCAATATCATTTAAATTGACACCGGACCTTTCCATCTCAGCATACGTTCCGAACGGTAATTTACCTAAGCACTCTAATTTCATAATATGCATTTTGCTACGAAGATGCTTCGCCAAGTGGCCGTGTATTCTGAATGCTATTTTACAGTCAGTACATTTGAATGGTCTAGGATTGCTGGTGGTCGCAGCTCCGAACGTAGAAGTCATACTGACCTGTAATACACGTCATTCAATCGTGAAATTAAAAAGATTCTTCGAAAATTATTTTCGATCTAAACTTGCAACACTTGCAAAAACAAATTATCAATTGCTTTCGAAAATTTGCATGACTTTCTCGTACGATGATTGGATTTCATTGATTGCATCGATAGATCAAAGAATGATTTTTATAAATTCGAACTAACGCTGTTATTGGGCGTGTTTTCTTTTTATTAATGCAACCTTGAACACGTGGTACAGATATTCCAAAGAGTTTATGTAGGTTAGATGGATTATACAATAAAAATTTTATTAGGATAAATTAAATGATTTCAAGTGACACGTCACGTGTCAAAGATTTCAAGGTCACCGCTATTTTTTTAAATGGAACTGTATATTCTTTAAACTCCATTCGATACGTTTTTTAATTCTCTACGAAAAAGTGTTAAGGTACTTAGGTCGAAAAATGATACATATTGTATCATATTTGGAGAAGTGACAATATGGTACAATGTTGAGAAACTGAAGTTAAAATATTTTTTAAACTAATCATTTTTCGACCCAAGTACCTTAATACATTTTTGTAGAGAATTAAAAAACGTATCGAATGGTGAATAAAAAATGTATAATTCCATTTAAAAAAATAGAGGTGACCCTGAAATCTTTGAAACTCCTCCATTTTCGTTGAAGATTTAAACCATTTAATTTTTCCTAATGAAACTTTTTTGGCTCATTTGTGTGCAACACCCTGTATAGGCTGTGCAGAATAAAATGTTTATATAGAATAACATATTAAAATAACGTTTAAGAACAACAAAACTATTACTTTATATTTGAATCCTCTTCTAATATAATAATCAATCTTTCTCCAGTCATAGTCACAATAACACATGGGTTATGTGTACAGCATAATACTTATTGCAATATTTATTAATAAACAAAGAATAAGCGTTCAACTTTGAATATTTCTCAAGCACTGAACCAACAATAAATACTCAATGTAATTAAAAGTTTCCTTTATAATAGAAAATTTGACAAAAATTAGTGGCCCAGATTATTTAAACCTATATAATAAAATAGTTGTGAAGTAATTTTCAACCGTAATCAGAAACGTTGACATTTGGTGTTCTTTTACTATTTGTTCTGGTTATTGAGAAATCACTTATCAAGTAAAAAATTAAAAAGCGATAAATTATCACTCTAGAAATTTGTTGACATCAATGATAAACGTGCATTGAAATAAGATACTTTGAAATATCTTTGTCATATCTGTCTTTATCCTAGAAAAAGTGTGCAAATTGTCGAGAGCAATAATTAAATACGTGGAGCGTGTAAATTAATAGTCACAATTTAGAAATCAATAGATAATTCATGAAATTACTATCGAATGGTTTTTTCGTTATACATACAAGTAAAAAGCACTTAAAATTTGTTTACCTTGTTATGATGAGAAACAGATCTTTCGTGTTTTGTTAAATGACCCTTGGTTCGAAATGAAACCGCGCAACTTTCACATCTGAATGGTCTCTCGAAGTAATGAATGTTGATATGCAACCGTAACTGACTAGGTTTGCTGAACACTTTGTTACAAATTCCGCAGACACTTCTTCCGTCTTCACTCACACTGTAACTGCATTCAGTAGATTCAGTTCTTACAATGAAAATTCATCTGGCATTGAATGTTGTTGAAAATCGGACGGTGCATTAATTGGAACAATATTCGAAGAACTAATTTGTAACGATAATTTTCACAAATACACTTTTAAACGGATTGTATTTCTTTTTCTCAAAATTGCAACTAAATTTTCGACGTTTCTAAATATTTTTGCAGGAGGAATTTTTTCCTAGAAATTTAGACAATTTTACTCACTAAAATTTTGGGTACATTTAATGCAGAAATTTTCAAACTTACTCAGCCTACCGCCCCCTTTTTAATTGAAGAAAATTACTAAATTATTGAAATTAATTTTTTTCTGCTTCCATCGCACCCTTAGTTTTATTCATCTCGCCCCCCTCAAGTGCGCCCGATGCTACTACCGCCCCTGGACCGTTGCAGCGCCCTCTTTGGGAACAGCTGATTTAACGGAATGACAAAACTAGGTTAATATTTCGCTTTCATAAGGAACAAGAATCGATTCGCGATAATTCGAATATGTAACTGATTGGAAATGCTAGAATTAACGAATTAGGATGGTGATTCAATAAGTAAAGAGACAAAGAGCTGTAGTTCAAAAAATATCTAAATAAAAAGTAGGATACTTTGTAAATCATAAATTGACATTCTTGTCGTCAATTAAAAACAGCTGTTTGACAACAATTCCAGTGCACATAGAAAAAATTAGGAAAAATTAGGTTGATTGGTTATAGTCCAGATCTTGCCCCATCAGATTTCTTTTTGTTTAACTCCCCTTTTGTGTAACCAAGTTTGACAGCAACAAAAAAGTAAAAAGTCAACGTGCAAAACTAGCTCAAACAACAAGACAAAGAATGTTTTCTAGAAATTTAGACATCTTAAATAACACAACCTTGCTCGCTAAAATTTTGGCTACGATTAACGCAGGCTTCCCAAACTTACTTAGCCTACTGGCCCCTTTTGAGTAAAAGAAATTACTAAAATTAAAAATTAAAATCTTTTTATCTTCTCTTCTTTCTTTGTGTTTCCACTGCCCCCTTACTCGTATTCAACGAGTGATGGGACCAGAGTAACAAGGGACTACGTCGAAAGATAGGTAAATTGTGAAATTCATCGAATAAACCATGCTTGTCTCTTCACTCATCGAACGACCCTTACACTTAACTGACGCATCCAGCATGGATACCTGACTCACCTGACGTAATTAGGCGCAGGTCCATTCGAAGGCTGCAAGAACTCAGCCTGCGGTTTGGTGGTTCCTGCGTTTGGCGAGGGCGATCTGAATCCAGGTCCTCCAACGACCATTTTCCTCACAACCGTGTGCTTGATGCTCTCAGTTATACTCTGCTTCGTCATTTCCGTGTGTTTCACCTCGACGTTCTGCGGCCTCGATACCTCTTGCATTTTCGACGGCTCGTGTATCGTTAACGGCATCATGTCGTAATTAACTCTCGGTTCTTGCGGCTGCGCGTGCCTGTTGTACTCGGATAATAAAATCATATCTCTGCTGGGAGGTCTGTTGTCCACGTTCGCCGATCTCATCTCCGCGTTGTTCGAAGACGGTATCTCCTGACTGGAGCGTACGTCGTGATTCAGTGGCTTCAATTCTCGACTAGGAGGTCTCAACTCTTGCCTGCACAATTTGTAGTCTTGATTAGGAGGTCGCAAGTCCTGCATCTGACCCCTGTAGTCCTGACAGGGCCCTCGAATTTCTCTACTAGGCGGCCTTATTCCGTCCAAATTCCGCGGACTCTGAGCCTGCATTCTCAGATCAGCAGACACCGTTCTCAGTTCGTGATTCGCCGACCTGATCTCTTGGCTAACCGCGTGAGACTCTCGAACCCTCTCCAATTCGTTCATAGGCTTGATCGAGCTGTATATCGAATTCCTGTCGACGTCGTTGCCCGTGTGCGGTATCGGCAACAATCGATTGTTCGCGTCCACGTTGAAAGACTTCGGGGAATGACAATCCACGTTCTGCGGTGTACTCCTACTCGGAGACTCCACCAGATAATTCGATCTCTCCATGCAGTTGTTGTTCTTGGACAAATTATACTCTCCGGTGGTCTTCGAGCTGACAGGACAGCTCGAACTATGATCGAAATTATCCCTTTCGTTAGTTCGACTTCCCTGCTGCTCCTTGTCCCTGTGAATCGACTCGATGTCGAAGGATCGTCGCTCCGTCCCGACGTTATTCTGATAAATCTTCTCCCTGATCTCCATCTTGATATCCTCCGTGGTGTGCTTCGACGCGTGCTTGATCCTCGTGTCTATCGCGGTTATTTGAATTTTCCCAGGATCGGCGAACGTGGTTACAGGAACGTTCTCCGATTCGACGCTCCTCGACTTCGGCGAGTGCTGTTGCTGCGAGTAGATGTCCCTTTCCTTCAGCTGTTTCTCCGTCTTTGTGTTTCCTACCCGATACTGTTGCTTGATCTTGCTGTCCATGACGTGCCTCTCGGTAAGATACGCCTGCAGCATGCGCCCTTCCGTGTCCGGTTTCCATTCTCTTCCTTGGATCGGCAGTCTCTCCATTGTCTGAACGATCGTCTGCAAGAGCACCGGCTCCGAGACCGGAGTCAAAATGTCCGCCGGCCTGGCTCTTTGTAGCACAGGCGACGGTAATGGCTGCAAGGCTGGCTTTGTCGTTAAATCCATCGGCTGTGACAGCGTGCTCCGCGAGTCTGCGTCGATCTCGTTCGCCTCGAGGTCCGAGCTTTCTTTCTTCGACGACTGGATCACGCTCGTTCTCGACTCCTCCGGGCCGGTTCGGCTCGAGGGGAAGTAGTAACGGTGGGACAACTCGTTTCTCACGAGGGTTGTTTCTTGAGTGGTGACCGTCTGACTGTTCAACGGGCTGTTGCTGCTTATCGCGCTCGACACGCTCGTCGTGGTGGAGGTTGTTGGGAAAGTTAGGGTGTAAGGGTAAGTGGTTGGTCTTCCAGACGGCACCAGTCCTGGAAATCTGCTGTTTGTGTTACGCTGCGAGAGACTTAGCAAACTCTGCGCCGCCTCTTGTTCCTCGCTTCCAGACTCCTCGCTCTCCTCTCCCTCGCTCTCCTCCTCCTCCTCCGAGGACTCTTCCGTGTTACCACCTGCCGCCAGACGGGCGATCGCCTCTTTATCGATATTCTCGTCGCAGACCGTCGTTGGTACAGGAACGACGCCGAGTTCCACGCATTTCTTGTAATGAGCCTTCGATTTCATGTGCTTCGTCAGGTTGCCTTTCGTTTTGAAACTGCGTACAGAGGAGGAGGCAATATTGTTTGAACATGTTCTGATGAGGAGAATGTTGGGTTTTTATGAAATAGACAAGAAAATGATTATATGCGACGGTGAGTATTATTTATAATAGTTTATTCGAGCACAATTTCTTAAACAGAGTCGTATTTATGCTTTTGGAGGCGCTGAGCGTAGGACAGAGGCGTATCTAGGGTGGGGCAAGTAGGGCGCAAAAATAAGCCGAAAGGAATAGTGTTTGGCAAACACTGTTTGTTGAATAAATTTATTCGGGGGGCCAATGTTAGTGGAGAGAGAAGAAGTGGAAAGAGCCAACTTTGAGGACAAGAAAAATAATATTGTAATTTGTTTGTACAGTTATTTTTTGTTTTTCTTCAGAGTCAAAATCGTGTAATATTTAACTTAATGTTTAATTATTCAACAAAGAAGTAGAAAAGAAACGGTGGAATTAGTATGATATGCACGTGGGGGGAATTTCGCGCTTGCCCTAGGCGCCGTTTACGCTAGATACGTCTCTGGCGCAACATCATTACGAGGCCTCGAAGGAACAAATTTATTTCAGTTAATTAAATTCATACACGTTTCTTTTTAAATTTATTGAAAATAAAAGTCGACATTTCCGTGATAACTCATTTTAATAAATTATTGGTCTGCAGAAATGAATAGCGGACCCTCGTAAATTTGCGTTTCCGTTTTCAGCGGCCTCTTTTAGCGGCCATATTTTATTTTGTAATTATAACCAAGCTGTTTTTTATATTGCTGTTTGTGAGGGGTAAGGTTTAGCGCCTTATGGTAAATACGGCCCTGTTTTTAAGGATATAAGCTTTCAAACGAGTATTTTTGAATACTCAGTGAAAAAGAAAATTGAACCGATAGTTCTTTCGTAGAAAATGACGATTTCTTTGTGAATTTACGTGGCTGCTATTTATTACGTCAATATTTAAAAAAAATATTGAATTAGTATTTTAAATAAATGGTCAGTATTTAAACTTGTATAAAGCAGTATAAAACCTGTCAGTATTTTCATTAAAATATTGGTGAACATAATAATTTGTCAGTATTTTAAATAGATAGTGTGTATAATAAAATTTCCTAACCTATCCTAATCTAACGAAAAATTTAAATTTTATTCACCAAAAAACAAACTAATACCGACCGAGTAAACAAGATTGTACTAACAAAATGCGATTTAATACTGACCAAATTATTCAATTTTTACTGAATTTATTTATTTTAAAAGATACTTATCATTAACTAAAAAAAAATACCGACCAAATAAATAGAAATGTATTTATGTAAGATTTGTGGCGCCGTGTATTATTCTATACTAATTTTACCTTAATAATCGTGTAACAGTTTTAACTTGTCCTAATCAATTCGCCAATTGTAAGATTTCATTCGTGATTCAATTTTGCACCGTTGTAAAATGTAGCCGTAAATAATAATCTAAAATTTACTCTAAATTCTACATAAGTTTTTGACAACTATAGTTACGATTCGTTTTCATACAGTTTTAACAAAATTTTTATTAAGTGTACAAATTAATTCGGTGCCTTTTTCCAAAAAGTCTCGAAGACTTCGTCGACTCAAAATCGTCATACTTTTTCAGAGAGAGAATTCATCAGCTGTCCAATAAATAGAAAAAAATCATATAAAATAACGGAGATCATTTCGATCATTAAAATTGTGTTTAATTTTTTCTAGATCAACATTTAAGTTTGTGACAAAAGGGCACCCAATTAATTTCTACACCCAATAAATAATTTTTCCGAGATTAAATCTCGTTGCTCTTGGAATCGTTCCTGTAACTACTCGAACGTGTACACGGTGCAAGTTATATGTGTTTTGCAATTGTTTTTTCAGCAGCGCCTGTAGATATTTTATCGTGTTTAGCTCTGGACCTTCTGCCACGTGTTTTAGATCCCTGTTACGTTGGAAAATGATTCCAGCCTTCCTCCGTTATCTTCTCTACAGTTCTCCATAATTCATTGTTCAACCCTTTGCTTTGGCGTTCAACTAGAGATCATGCGCTATTTTTCTCGAGAGTTTTCAGACTTTCACGGTCCGGTATGTTACAGTTTATACCGTTTAAGGCTTTCTGGGTGTACAGAAGCCGCGTTCACTGGGAGTTTTAACGCTAGAACTACCGGCCGGGTCAAAAATGACCCATTCGCAACTTTTGAAAAAAAAAGCGATTGTTCTTGTTGGTGCAAAAATAACTGCGGTTTTCGCCACTAAAAGCTTGAGTTATCAGTCTGAGGTGAGTTGTTTTGTAGCTACGTTCATGTAGTGTACCATTTCGAAGCGTGAAGGGTTCTATCGATGTATGTCTGTGACTTGTTTCTGACTGTTTATTTGTAGCTGTATTTGGTCAGGAAAGTAAGGATGGAAAAAAAGCAAATTCGAGCGATATTATTGTACGGAGTATAAACTGGGACGTTATAATTTTCTCAGACCTGGCGAAGCTGTTACAGCAGTGAAATACTGTCACGAAATCGACAAAATGCATAAAAAGTTGAAAGATTTATGTCTGATACTGGTCAATCTAAAGGGGCCTATTCTACTGCATGACAACGCCCGACCACATGTCTCACAAATAACCGTTCAAAAACTCAATGAACTAGGATACGAAACCTTGCCTCATCCACCGTATTCGCCGGACATTTCTCCGACGGATTGTCATAGTTTTCAATCATCTGGAAAACATTCTGCGCGAGAAGAACTTGAAAACTCAAGCAGCAGCCGAAAACGCATTTGAAGAGTTCATCGACTCTAGAACACCAGAATTCTATAATACTGGAATAAAGAAACTTGTATTACGCTGGCAGAAATGTATAAAATCGAATGGTTCCTATTTTGATTCAATAACTTCATTCTAACCCAAGATATATTATTTTAAAGTTCACACTTCAAAACCGCAATTATTTTTGCACCAACCTAATATTATCGCTTGTAACTTTCCCAATTTATTTTCGAGATGTAAGTTTGTATTTGCACCGATATGAATTAAATTTTTTAATCACGTTTTACGGAAAGTCGCTGATGGGTCACTTTTGACCCGGCTGGCAGTTTTAGCGTTAATGAGAAACCATAATAATATCAATCCAGATACAGAGTACCACCTTAACCCTATCTGGAGCACCCTTCTTTCATTTTTTTAACCTGATTGACTGATCTATGATCCGGAATATGAACGCGGGTGCTTTAAAAAGAGCGAACATCTTGACGCGTACAATTATTAGCGCGTCCTCAGACCTCTGACGAAGCTAGCTGCAATGCTAGCGAAACTGTCAGTATTCGGCAAAATTTGTCTTATTTTTTCTACAACACTTTATGAATCTAAAATCTTTGATTTAACGAAGAAGTTATTCTCTTTCAAGCGCGATTTGCAAGAGGTTCAATAGTGACAAAGCTCATTTTCTTTCTAATTTCAATGCTTTCTTCTAGAAGGATATTATTCTAGAAGAATTTGTGGAAAACTGTTGGTACTACGCTTCTATGTGGTCTTCTTGCAACGAATATAAGCGATTTTGACATTGTAACAATGTCAGTGTCTAAATTGCAGCGCAAAATTGAATTGGAAGGAAAATATGACTAACAAAGGAAAGTCAACGTGTTACACGTTTATCGAGGTATAACAAGTGTAGGCTAATACACGTGACATGTGTTACTGTTCCATTTTTACGTCAGTATGTAAATGAACAGTTATTTTCTAGGAAAGTATATTTCTCGGTTCAGTTTCGTTCCTCGCTGCAGTCCTTCGCTCTTAATACCCTACACAGGGTGGGTCTATAAGAATTAACATGTAAAATAATTCGTTATCTCATACTTGTATCAGAAAACGCGTTTAAATGAATTCTGTAGCATTAGAATTTTTACAATTTGTACAAAATATTTTGTCTCAGTTTGAGGTTCAAGGTCAATTTATTATAGGTCGTTGAATTCGCTTTTTCATCTGCTACAACGCAGCATTAAAACAAAAATGTATCGAGCATGCAAAAAATTGAGGTCACTGAAATCTCGAAAAATATAAGATATAAGAAAATATAGTTGCGTTCATCTCATGCACTCCTTCTAATGCTACACAATTCATTTAAACCGTTTTTTGATACCAGCAACAGATAACGAGTTATTTTAGATCAAAGGCGCTTAACTTCTTGCTCACGAGCAAATTTCCCCTCCCGAGGTTCCCCCACTATGCGGTACGAACACGCAGAATGTGTAACATAAACCAACGGCAGTCGCTGGAGTTGTGGTGGGAGGGCTCCTCGCGTCCCCCTCCCGCCGCGCCACAACTCGAGCGAGACCATCTCAGTCGCATAGTGGGGGAACCTCGGGAGGGGAAATTTGCTCGTGAGCAAGAAGGTAAGCGCCTCTGCTGTATACTATCGCTTGCAAGTTTAGTCGCGCAATGCAAAAGTGCCGTGTAATTCAATTCATTTCAATTCATTTCATTCAAATCGATGAAATTTCAATTCGGTTTATCAAATTTAAACTTTCATACCGGACTCAACGCAGTGAAGTTTATCGTTCTCGCCTAATTAATTTTTTTTGTTCTACAGTTACTTACGGTTTTACAGCATTTTAACGGATGCGATTAAACTTTCGAGCAGTAGTGTATACATTTGAATGTTGAGTCTTGTAAGTGAGAACTGAGCGTCATTTTAATTTTCTTATGAACCTTAACCCTTCGTAGGCAAACTGGGTCGTTTGTGTCCAAGTCTAATTTTTTTGAAGTTTCAAGCTTTTAAAAAATCTGAAAAAATTCTGAGATACTTATTGAAGTCTTTACTACATTATGCAATTATTCGTTGAGTCAAATGTTTAAACGTTTTTCAATAATTGAAGAGATACAAGAGTGAAATTTTGCTTGGGTCATTAATGACCCAGAAAAGATTGTTTCCCACTGGAGCCTAATTTTTTTACTCTTTCAAGCTTTGAAAAAATCTGAAAAAATTCTGGAGTACTCATCAAAGTCTCTACTATACTATACAATTGTTCGTTAAGTCAAATGTCCAAAACTTTTTTCAATAAAAATAGAAATTCGTTTCGAAGAAATATGGAGTGAAATACTTGGGTCGTCGAAGACCCAGAATATCTACGGAGGGTTAAATTAAAATTTAAATCTAAAGGAAATTTCTTTACAAAATAAAGCATATAAATTGTAAATTTGCAATACTACAAGAAAGCCTGAATCTTACAGATTCTCTAACAAAGTTCGCAGTTCTTAAAAAGAAAACAAAAGGAAAATTTGTTAGAGGCGACTTACCTAAAAGCGCAATGCTTGCATGTGTACGGCCTTACATCCGTGTGCGTTCTGATATGTTTCTTTAACATGGATGGTTTTTTACAACGAATGCCGCACTCGACGCACACGTATCGTCCTCGACCTTACATAACAAAAGAAATCCGTTGAAATTCCTGACCATAAGAAACGATGCGTTATTTACGCAAAATACTATTTACCAAACGCACGTACACTGCCGGCCAAATGTTTGATATCACCTGTCAATTTACATCAATATTGAATCTGCTACTAATTCTTTATAAACCTGAAATTTATGTTGTGGAAACCAACAGCACTTGACCTCATTTCGATTGATTTGAATGACAAAAAGTTCCTTAAAAAATGCTTAAAATTGCTCACTTTTTTTTTTAGAAATTTTTGTGTAACTTACAATGAACAGTGATTCCAAACATTTGGCCGGTAGTGTATGTACATCGTGATAAACACATGTACACGTAAATGCAAATTTCAGTCGTTGATACTTTGAACGCGCGACAATAATTACGACATTAAAATTCTCATACGAAATGTTCCTTCTTGGAAAGCACTCAACAAAATGAAGTAACAATTTTTCTTACTCTACGTTAACCTTTTGTACTCGAAGATCTTTTCACTATAGCCAATTACCTTCAAAATTGAGATTTAGTATTTGCTAAAAAATGGATGAAATTTTTTGATACTAACGTAGAAATAAATCATACCATATGTATATTGACAAATATATTTCAATTATAATACATTCTTTTTTTATTTATTTTAATTATTTACCAAATAGTAAAACATAATGTCGCTTCTCAATCGCCACTCGAGTGCAAAGGGTTGAACGTAACTGTTTCAACTTAATTAAACAAATCTGAGACGATGCTTTACATGCTTATTATTTCCTGTATACAGGCTGTTTCACGCAACTGTCTTTAACACGTTCACTGCCACGCCAGATTTACATGTTATGCTCAGGGCGCCACAAGAAAATTTTCATTATTCTAAGCATAGTATATATATATTATGCTTTATTATTAATTTTTTTTTAAATTCAAGATAATGTCCAGTTAGCTACGATGTTCGAAATTTTTAGTCGACGATATTCATTTTCTTTTAATTACTCTAAACGTTTTAGGCCATCCGGTCACTGATGACCATTATGGCTCCATCGAGGAAGCAATCTCCGGTCACAGGTGACCAACGTGGCAGTGAACGTGTTAAGATAGAAAAAAATGTCAGAGGACAAAAGTATGTCCTACATTTCTGTACCACTTTTATACATTCTTCCAAGGTACGATCAACTCTTTGTTGACCGGCTATTTCCAGCCAAAAATATCTCGCGCAGTCGGCTATTTTTCCGCAATTGAATTATCCGTTACCCATTCTCTAGCTATTTCTAGTAAGAAATGTTTGTATTTTATTTTTTTTTTTATGAATTATAGTTGTAGTGAAGTTTGAATGCATTGAATAGGACACAATTGATGAAAAAGAAGGCTACTTTTTTGGGCAAGATAACTTGTAAACTGTTTAGTTTATGATTATGTCACTGTAACACTTTTATACGCAGAATGATCCAGAGGATCGATTTATGCAAGAAAAATTATGGGGGCAACTCTTGATCCTCGAGGCGAAGAGTCAAGAGATGTTTTCCAAAGCTCTCTGGGTTTTCTCCTCCTCGAGGGCAATTGTAATAGTGTTTTGGCAATATGGTCCCGTGCCCCCACTTTCTGGGACTTTTCCCAAGGCAAAGTGGCTATTTAATCCTTTGAGTGCTATGGATGCATACAGGGTGTCCCGTAATTCCTCGAACACCCGGAAATGGGGGGTTGCTGGGGTGACTCTGAACAACTTTTTCCTTTACCAAAATGTTGGTTGAAGCTTCGTTTTTGAATTATTAACGAAAAACACTGGCTAATCAGAGCGCGCGTAGAGCCCGCGCCCAGGCACGGGAGCGCAGGGCTCATCCGGTGAGGGATTTTTAAAAGTAAATTCCACAGATAACTTGTTAAAGAATGTTCTCAAGATGACTCCATTTATTCTAGAAAAAATTTTGTTCTGGAACAGAAGACAACGAGAGAAGAGAATGTTAAACTACAGGATGCTCCAGACCACCATTTCTTCAAACTTTGTCTGTCTATTATAACAGAAATTTTTCTTCTCTGTTCTTCGTCCCTGAGCGCGGGCTCTACGCACGCTGTGATTGGCCAGTGTTTTTCGTTAATAATTCAAAAATGAAGCTTCAAAGAACATTTTGGTAAAGGAAAAAGTTGTTCAGAGTCACCCCAGCAACCCCCCATTTCCGGGTGTTCGAGGAGTTACGGGACGGTGTGTACTATGGGTGCATATATGAGTTCGGTAAAAGTTACCAGCATATATGCCTTTGTCAATCTTTATATGAGATGAATTGTACACGTGTGTTCCTTAGCTGCCTATGAAGAATACATTTGCGTTGTTTAATTTGGTGGCAGAGAATTATAATAATAACTTGTTGTTAATTGCGCCTTGTATACTCAATCAGCAGAATTCACACTAGCAAAAAAGTATTCCGTCCATACGAAGAGCTTCGGCAGGGAGTATTCAGCACTCAAAGGGTTAAGTGAACCCCGAAAAAGGGACGAGAATTTTTTGTCGTAAACCTTCGAGTTACATAGTTCTCTTGCAATTCAGACGTGTCCTTGGCATACTTATAAAAATTAGTTTTTAAGTGTTGATTAAAGTACATAGATATATTTTTTGGGTACATAACACACGTTAAATTATCTCACCTCACGTCTATTCCAAAATTATGTAGTTCCAATTTTCAAAAAAAGTGCAATTGCACTTTGCAAGTGCATCGATACGCAAGAATGCATAAGATTGGTACAGAAATGTAGAACATACTTTTGTCCTCTGATATTTGTTTTGAGACACCCTGTATATTTTGGATCGTTTAACATTTCAAGCGTCTCTCTTTAACTCTTATCTCTATTTTTGTCACAGATACGTATTACTTATACTTGACTGATTTGTTACACCGGTAATCTAGATGCAAATACCTTTCTGGATACTTTATCATAACATCGGATAAGAAAAATTCACCTGTTCCCGGCAAAGTTTAATTCCGCTTAATCGACGAAAACGTTCGACCAGCAAAATTTCGACCCAATCCGATAATGAAGGATTTTCCAATAGAACTTTGAATTGCCACAGCCGCTATGTTTGTTACTGAATCGTCAGAGTCGCGTGACAATTGCCATCGTGACACAATTTGGCCGAAACTATCGCTTTGTCGAAGTTCAATGATAGGATTATTTGGAGAAATGCAGCTAACTGGCCATCGAGATCTCGCGACTCGACACGCCATCAGACTTTTTCTTGCGGGACCACGTTAAATCTCTCGTTTGTTTCAACGAATGTCACAAACTGTTGTCGATCCCGAAGCAAACATCATTCGTATTATTGATGAAGTGACCTGATTTATGTGCCAGAGTTTTCGATAATTGGGTCTGTCGTATTCACTTCACCAAACGCAATCGTGGTGGTCATTTAACTCTCAGATGACGGATACAGGGTCATTTTGACCCAACGGTACTCGTTGCTCTGCTTCTTGTTCGAAAGTGTTACAATTAAGCAAGAAGTTAAGAAGTCAGCTAAAATTATCGGCCGTCTGAAATTGCATTGTGAAGCAAAGCTAAAGCATCGAATTCGAATTTCATCACTAGACTGCGGATTTTCATGCATTTATGGAAATTTTTTTCTTTTCATTTTTACTAGCAATCAGAATACATTTCTGTCAGCTAATTTGCTGATTTGGGTACTGTTTTCAGCACCTCTTGCAGCGTGACGAGGACTCGGTTCACTGACAAGTCCTCCTTAATGGAAAATTTCAAGACAAAAATAGAGAGAATGCACAAAATATGCAAAAATATATAAATCAACGCAAAATCTAGTACTCGTTATAATATTTAGCGAATAAAACTACCTATTTTTTCAATTATATTCATGAAAATATGAATTTGCATAAAAATCTGCAGTCTACTTATCACTCTACCACAACAATTTTATGTACTAATTGTTATTCAATATATAATAAGCATTATTATACATATCCGTTTACGATTCTTCGATCCAGAATTCCCTGCTTAACACCGCGAGAAAACAATATTGTGGTAATTATGCAGAAAAGGGGACTCGCCGCAGATTTCAAGACCTTTAAATGTGTTGATGGTTGCATGATGAGAGAATATTAGCAAATAGGTAAACAGAAGCTACAGGTGGTTTGTTTACACGAAAAGAGTTATCATCGTGAGTAAGGTTTTTAAACCTCAGACCAAGCGGCAGTAACATGTATACCAAAAAGTTGTCCAAAATGACGACTTTGACAACATATTTCAAGGTGATTGAAATTGGCGAAAAGTCCCCTTTTCTGCATAATTATTAAAATTGTTTGCTACGAGTCCTACTGATCCTGCATCCGTTTGCTGTCGAATCATCCGCCGTCCAAGATACGAAAAGTTCGTAGCGAAATTTAAACCGTCTTATCTCTGCTTCTAATTGACATAGCGATAAAAGTTAAAGGGTATTTTCCTCGACAGTTGAAGACGAATCCAACGCACTACTCAAATAATTCGTAAGACGAACAGGGATGGGTATAAGTCGAACTATGTTTTCTGCAGTGAAGCGTGGACGTTGAATTTTTCGTGGCAACGCTCCTCCACCGCAGTAAATATAGTTCGCCTTGGGAGTAATTTCCGGGGTACATCGGGTTTGTCTTCAAATAACGAGTACAACATCTTTTGGTTATTGTCGCTATCTCGATTAGAAACAGAGATACGATGGTTTGAATTTTTCCTACATTTCGCTACGAACTTTCCGAACCACCCTATACAGTGAACCCTCCTATAACGCGATTAACCCCTTGACCTATGATTTTTTTTCTGACTATACATCTAAGCGTCAGCTATTTACTGTTTTAGTACTGTATCAGCTGATCTATCACAGGTTAATTGCATTTAGCAATCCTCAGTCTTACAAATTAAAACGAAAGTTAGGATTACATTTTATTTTTCTTACTAATATAACTATTTTTGTCACATCTTGACCAGAATCTCTGTCACGAGTCCGACTCGTTGTTATAAGTGAAGGGGTTAATTCGTACCGCGTTGTATGGAAACCGTGTTATGAGAGTACCGCGTTACAGGTTTACTGTAATAGAAAAATGCATGCTATAGGGAGACCGCTTAAGCTAACTGAGTTGTTATACAGGGTGTCCCGTAACTCCTCGAACACCCGGAAATGGGGGGTTGCTGGGGTGACTCTGAACAACTTTTTCCTTTACCAAAATGTTGTTTAAAGCATCGTTTTTGAATTATTAACGAAAAACACTGGCCAATCAGAGCGCGCGTAGAGCCCGCGCTCAGGGACGAAGAACAGGGACGAAGAACCCTCACCCGGGCGCGATCGAACAATGCGTACGCGTTAAAAACGACCTTCGCTATTTTCTTCACGATTCCGACTAATTGGAGTTTTTTCACAAATTTATACAAATGTCCGAATGACGGCAAAAACCCATTTCTCTGAGCCTTATAAAAATAGCGGTGCAAAGTGAAATTTTTTTGACAGCGATCGATAACCGAGAAGTCACGCGTACGCGTCTTTCATGATAGTGCGCGGGTGAATCTCTGTTCGCCCGTCCCTGAGCGCGGGCTCTACGCGCGCTCTGATTGGCCAGTGGTTTTCGTTAATAATTCAAAAATGAAGCTTCAAACAGCATTTTGGTAAAGGAAAAAGTTGTTCAGAGTCACCTCAGGAACCCCCTATTTCCAGGTGTTCGAGGAGTTACGGGACACCCTGTATAGAGAAATAACGTTACAAGCCTACCGCGTTTCAAAAGCAGCCCCTTATAGGAGGGCCGTCCCAATTGTTGCTCCGCGTTATAGAAGGATTTACCTACACAACGACCACCAGACTATCTTCCCTATTTTAATTTCAATTCAAAGTTCTATCACTCTCACCGGAAAACCCTTTACCTATTCGAGTAAAACGTGCGAACACAGAGAGAGCACGTAGAAAAATATTTGCTATTCTCTTACCTCTACCTCTAACGTACGTATAGTCCTCGTTGCTCTCGAACCCACCGTCGAATATCTTCACTCTCTTCGCCTTCTCCTGCATGTCACTGTCCAAACCACTGTCCGGACTAGTTGGCGTGGTGGGTCTCTGCGAGGAATGCGTCAAAATGTCCTCCTGCTTCTTCCAAGCTGTCGTATAATTGAACGGTCTGTGTCTCGAGTCGTAATGCACCATATCGACGTCGGGCGGTGCCTCTTTGCATATCTTCCAGTTCGAGTACATGGACAGACCGTGTTGTTGCGTTACGTACATCGGCTGCGGTCTGTTCAGAGTGCAATAAAACACTCTGGTTGAACATTTCAGGCCCAGATATGTATAAGCGTGACCGTTGAGGTAAAGTTGCCCGTACGATTTCTTCGGTCGCGGTGTCTCAGGGCTGATGAGCGGAAGCGTGTTCGCCGTTGGTGTGATACCGTGATGCTTCTTAGGCGTGAAAGTACCCGGCTTCAACGGCAACGAGGTCGGCCTTAAGAACTTATTCGAATTGGTCTCTTCTTTAGCAGCGTCGCCGTTTTTCGGCGATTTAGCCTCGGCTTTACTATCCGGCTTAACGACTAAATCTATGGAAGTTTTGCTTGGCACTTCTGTTTTATTAGAACTGTTCAGGTTGACGAGCAGCATCGAGGTCGCGCTGTCCTGTTTCGTTTTACCACCGTTGAACGTGTTCGAATACTCGGCGATCTTCCCTCTGCTCTCGCCGAGAGGACCTGTCGCCGATTTCAAACGTCCGTTCTCGAGAGGTGGCGGAGGTGAATCGTACTTAGGGGTAGCGCTGTGTCCCAGAGAAAAGACAGACGCTCTACCTGCTTCCAGTTCGCTCACGCTCCACGTAGACAGCCTCTTTCTGCTTTCGGAAGACTCTTTCGGCGAATATCGGAGTTTATTGTACGAATTGGAAGAAACGGCACCCGTGTCGATTCCGTTCGAGTAACTCAACACTTTCTCGAGCTTCGGGCTTCTGTCGTACGAGAACTCGCCCCATTTCTCCCTCGGGCTCTCCAACACTTTGTATTTGACAGCCACGCTGTTCTTGATATGACGATCGAACTCCGGTTTGCCGATCTCGCTCGAACACGGCACCCTTCGATACTTCTCCGACGAGCTCTCGATCTTGGCGTTAGGAACTTTCGGGCTGGTCAAACCGGCCTTCAAAACCTCGTTCACGGGTGTTTTGAAGCCGAGTTTGCCGTCCTTAGCCGGACTGGCGAGATCCAGAGGCTGGCCGATTATCGAGACGTGTCCGCTGGACATCGGGCCTGGAATTCCAGGAACGTTCGGCGTTTGGATTTTCACCGGACTGGCGAGATCCAAGGGCTGAGGGATCATGTGGAGGCCAGGCAGGCCTGGTATCACTTTGTACCCGGCCTCGCCGGTCGCCATACTCGGAGATATGTCTATGGCTGGCGTGAGAGTATGTGGTCCAGGCATGCCGGGGACATAAGGTATGACCTTGCCGCCGTGAAGAATATTCGTGATTCCTGGCTGGGGCAAAGTGAGAGGATTGTAGGCAGTGATACTGGTGAGAGGGTTCAAGTGTGGCTCGAGATAATTGTAGCACGACATGCTCGGCGCTATGTTCGGGGTTGATATGTTCGGTATGATTGGCGCCAACATTTTCGGCGTGTTCGACAAAGATATAGAGGAACTGGGTGTGCTGGTCGGCGTGCCAGGCGGTTTGTGAACCATCGTGCCGCCAGAGTGAAGGCCCGATCTCACCACGATCGAAGCTGTCTCCGAGGTCACGCACTTGCTGCTAACTATGTGCTCGTTCGTCGGAGAGTTCCTCTGTCGCGGCTCGATTCTCATCGTCTTCGTTTCGCCGGTGTCGTCCAGTATCCTGACCTCGCCGCCGAACATTTGCAGCGAGTTCGGCCGCGGATACTTGCTCAGCACCTCGAGAGATCGCAGCGAAGTAGGCACAGACTCAGATCTCTGTTTCTTTATCGGTGGCGCGTACGCGTCGACCAGCCTTGTGTTGCCCAAGAGCGGCCCGGGGGAAGGTAGGGGTTGCAACGTGTTGTAGTAATCGGAAGACTTCGAGTCGAAATCAGCTTCTCTCTTCTCCATCTCCAGCTGATACTCTCTGCGGGGACTCACGCTGCCTTTGCAGTAGTACCTGCGATGAGCGTCGAGGTTGTCGATGCTCGAGTAGGGGATGTTGCAGGAAGGACAGAGGTAATTTTCGTTCTCCGTCATGCCGTCCTGGCTGGAAGTTTGATTCTTCAGCAACAGGTCTTTGATGATCGAACCTTCCCGTCCGTTCGGACAGTCTTTGTCCTCCGGAACGAAGCTCTCGCTGTAACATCGTTTCCTCGACGAGGATTCCTCCGCGGAGGAGAGATTCAAAGGCTGATCGGACTGTTTCGTCTCGACGAGACTTTGCTGCTTTTGAATTAGCTTGTGTAGCCGAGGATCGACCGCGTCGACGATCGCTTGATTATCCGTGATAATTTTGTCGATGTGCTCTTGCACCTGTTCTGGATTAGGCTTTGGCGTGGTGCTCGAGGCTGTCGTCGAGGAGCAACTGTTTGTGGAAGATGTGGAGGATAGGGAAGACGTTTCGATGTCGTTGTTCACGCACTGGAGGGCCGTGTGAAATTTTGGTTTGTAGATTTTCCCGGTTTTGATCGTTTTCATGCTGGACACGGTGGTCGTGGGCGTGGATGATAGTAGAGGCGGTGGCGTCCCGGTACCGTTGCTAGCGCTGTCGGACAAGCTTACGTCCGAGTCCTCCGATATCTGTAAAAATTATCGTACATTTTCCATACAGACAAATATTTATTTTTTCGGATTTTATGTTTTTGCTTCTTTTTGTCGATTTTATTTCTGTATATTCTATGGCAGGGCCGGCGGAATGCGCTAATTGCAAGCAGTTTATGCAGGGTATAGTAGCGCTCGATGCCAAGAGCATCAATGAGTGGGACATTTTCTTTCATTTTAATTAAGTGGTTGTTTCGAGAAGTTGAGGTATATTGTTTATGCTTTTTTGTGGGAATCAAGTTGCAATACAGTTACAAATAACCAATTAACCCTTTGCGGAGGAGTTGTTGCTTTCAGATATCTTACAACGACGAATTATGAATTATAAACGATAATAAACTATTTTTGTATGCACCAATATTATACTGAAATTTAATATTA